AAAGATCAAAATTCAAAATATCTAAAAAACAGAGACAAGTAATTTAGGTAAAAAAAAAAGCAATGGAGAAATGTGTAAAAAACTTGAATAAAAACTCAGAGAAAAGGACATATGAATGATTAATTTTAATGATCAATAAATGATAAATAAATGATAAAGTAACTCAGATTCCTCAACCATCATGGAAAAGAAAATTACATTTTTTCATATATATCAGATTGACCGAAAAATAAGAAAATAAATATAACTTTAAATTATGAAATATACCTGTAGAAAAAATGCGTTAAAGAAATGTATACCTTAAATATTATAAACTTTATAGCCATCTTCCAGCTCCAGAAGACCCAGCAACCTCCTTCAGTCACAATAGACTTTCTCTCAACTTGGAACAAGGCTCAGTGTTATGTGGCAGCCTGGGTGGGAGGGGAGTTTGGGAAAGAAAGGATACATGTATCCTTTCTACTAAGTTGACTTTTGGCAGCAGCTTTCTAATTTCCTAGAGGAAAAAATGAAGCCATAGAAGGAGTACTATCATGGCAGGTTTCAAGACACCAATGTGTCTACTGACAGTTTTACACTCAGCTCTGGTGAGCATGTACAAACCCACTCTAACATTCAAGGGACATTTTCTTCACTTGATTTTTTTTCTTGTTAACAAACTAGGTTTATTTTCTATATCAGTTTTCCCTTCTTCTTTTTTTTTTTTTTTTTTTGGAACCAGTTTTAGATTTGTTTATTTTCTGTGTTCTATTGTTTTCTTTAAAAAACAAAACAAAACAAAAAACTTTTATTTTGTATTGAGTATTCCCTGGTGGCTCAGATGATAAAGAATCTGCCTGCAATGTGGGAGAGCTGGGTTAAATCCCTGGGTTGGGAAGATCCCCTGGAGAAGGGAAGGGCTACTCACTCCACTATTCTGGCCTAGAGAATTCCATGGACAGAGGAGGATGATGGGCTACCGTCCATGGGGTCGCAAAGAATCACATAGGACTGAGAGGCTTTCAATCACTATAATCGATTAATAAACAATGTTGTGATAGTTTCAGGTGAACAGCAAAAGGACTCAGCCATACATATACATGCATCCATTCTTTCCCAATCTCCCCGCCCATCCAGGCTGCCACATAACATTGAGCAGTGTTCCATATGCAATATTTTGCTATCCAATGGGTCCTTGTTGCTCATCTATTTTAAATATAGCAATGTCTACCTGTCCATCCCATGTTCTATTATTTCCTAACTCATAAATCTCTTCCTGTAATATTTAAAAATTTTTTAAATTGAAGTATAATTGATCAATGATGTTATTCTAGCCTCTGCTGTGCAGCAAAGGGATCCAGTTATACACATATAGATGTTTTAAAAAATGTTCTTTTCCACTATGTTTTATCATGTGATATTGAATACAGTGGGCTTCCCAGGTGGCTCAGTGGTAAAGAATCTCCTGCCAATGCCAGAAGATGCAGGACATGCGGGTTCCCTCCCTGGGTCAGGAAGATCCCTTGGAAAAGAAAATAGTAGCGCACTCCAGTATTCTTGCCTGGAAAATTCCATGGACTTTTTACCACAGAGGAGACTGATGGGCTACAGTCCATGGGATCACAAAAACTCAGACACGACTGAGCAGCTGAGCACAACATTGAATATAGTGCCCTTTGGTATATAGTAAGAGCTTTTTGGTGTTTATTCCTTCTACATGTAATAGTTTGCATCTGCTAATCCTACGTTCCCAGTGCTTCCCTCCTCCACCCCTCCTCCTTGGCAACCAACAAAATTGTGATTAGGGACACAGGGGTTCAGTCCTTTATTTCTCTTCTTATTATCTCCAGCAGGTCACTTAGCCTCCTCTTTGGATTTCAGCTTTCTCAGCTAGAAAACTAGGATATATTTGATGATCTCAAAATTTCTACATTGCTCTCTAGTTTCATGAAATACATCCCTATCATCCACTTGTGACTCCAAGAATTGAATTGAGTCTACAATGTGAATTTTAAAGTCCCAAACTTTTTAAATAACAATATAATAGTGAATCTGTAGTTTCTTTTTAATTACAAGAAGACATGCTTCTAATGATGCTTTAGCTGAAATTTAGGATCCTGAGCCTCAGACAGATTCAAGACTCTATAAATGTCAGAATCAATCCACTGTTGAAAGTTATCATGAAAGGTTCATGAGTAAGCATTTCTATAAATCCTTTGAAATTCTTGAAGTAAACAAACACAAGAATTGTTATTAATGAAAAATAAAGTATAATGCACCCCTTTGTCAATGGGTTAGTGAAAATGAAAGTCGCTCAGTTGTGTCTGACTCTTTGCAACCCCATGGACTATAGAGTCCATGGTATTCTCCAGGCCAGAACACTGGAGTGGGTAGCCTTTCCCTTCTCCAGGGGATCTTCCCAACCCAGGGATCAAACCCTGGTCTCCCACATTGCAGGAGGATTTTTTACCAGTTGAGCTATAAGAGAAGCCCAAGAATACTGGAGTAGGTAGCTTATCCCTCCTCCAGCAGGAATGGGTTAAGATGAAGGCAAAAAGTAACAATTATTTTATCAGAGTAAGATTGTACAAAAAGATTTTCTAAGGTTTGGAAGTTACAGAGAAATAAATAATAATGAGAATGCTATTAAATATTGACAGATTCTACATCTAGAATTTCCTTTAAAAATATAAACCAAAAACAAAAGTTTATTTAGAGATAATTTAAAAAATAATGTGAGAGAATGAGAGCCAAATTGTCACAGAATCTTTAATTCACTCATATTATATAAAATGCACATGTAAAAATCTATGTATTTAAAAATCTATATAGCAACTGGATAGAAGTCAATGTCTTTTGTGGAAGAGTTAATGTTCAGTTCAGTTCAGTGGTTTAGTTGGGTCCGACTCTTTGCAACCCCATGGACTGCCGACTTCCCGGTTCATCACCAACTCCCAGAGCTTACTCAAACTCATGTCCATTGAGTCAGTGATGCCATCCAACCATCTCATCCTTTGTTGTCCCCTTCTTCTCCCACCTTCAATCTTTCCAGCATCAGGGTCTTTTCCAATAAGTCCATTCTTCATATCAGGTGGCCAAAGTATTAGAGTTTCAGCTTCAGCATCAGTCCTTCCAGAGAATATTCAGGATTGATTTAGGATGGACTGGTTGGATCTCCTTGCAGTCCAAGAGACCCTCAAAGTCTTCTCCAACACCACAGTTCAAAAGTACCAATTCTTCAGTGCTCAGCTTTCTTTATAGTCCAACTCTCACATCCATACATGACTACTGGAAAAACCATAGCTTTGAGAATACAGACCTTTGTTGGCAAAGGAATGTCTCGACTTTTTAATATGCTGTCTAGGTTGGTCATAACTTTTCTTCCAAGGAGCAAGCATCTTTTAATTTCATGGCTGCAGTCACCATCTGCACTGATTTTAGAGTCCCCCAAAATAAAATCTCTCACTGTTTCCATTATTTCCTCATCTATTTGCCATGAATTGATGGGACCAGATGCCATGATCTTAGTTTTCTGAATGTTGAGTTTTAAGCCAACTTTTTCGCTCTCCTGTTTCACTTTCTAGAGTTAATGTTGCCATAGCAAAATGAAATATCTTAAGTTTTGAATTTCCCTGTATACATGTTCAAGCATTGATGTGAACATAATATATCTTACTTTTAGCTACTAACACTAAAAATTCCAGAAGCAAAATTAAGAGGGAAACAAAATGCCCTTCATTTACATTTATTTTCTAAAGTCATTTTAAGTCTTCCATTTTATAAAATGTTATTATGGAACAATGGCAATCATTGCCTACTCTCTATGCAATCTAAATAAATGACGTCTGAGTAGTTTTTCTCTGTATCTCACCACATGTTTAACTACAGGATTATAATTTTGTAGTCCTAAAAAATACATTGATTTTTACATGCATATAAGGAGACCAGTTGGAATAGGAAATCACAACTCCAGTATTCTTGCCTGTAAAATGCCAAGGGCAGAGGATCCTGGCAGGCTACAGTCCACGGAGTTGTAGAGTTGGACATGAGTGAGCAACCGAGCACAAGCAGACAAGTAACAATGCTAAAAATAGAATAATAAATGTATTTAGTCTATCATGTTATTTACCTTTCAAGAAAAGAGAAGGTATATCATATGCAACATTTTGTTTAAAAATTTATAATGCAGCATAGTTTCCTTTTCCTTTCTAATAAATATTTGAAAGACATGTAATATTAAACAGTTCATCTAATTGAAAACCTTATGTGAAAATATTGGGGCAATGGTTTTTGGCAACATGAAGACATCTACTGCCACACAGTGTTCTATGAGTGTTCTTTCATAAGTCAGTCCCAGAAGCATATAAGCCAGCAAGAGAAAGAGCTCAGCAGATTTCTGAAATTTTGGCCAAATAGTCCCCAGTTATGGACAGGAGACAATGGTTTCTCAAAGAGCCAAAGTGGACTTAAAAATATAATTAGCATAATAATAATGCTGGGCATGGTATGAAAGACAGTGAATGAGCATTTATTTTGGCTAGACTGATTTAAATTTAGAATTTATCACATGATTTGCATAAGCTTGGGAGAGTTAATCACTTTAGTCTATTTTTCTCTTCTCTAAAATGGGGATGATGATGCCTGCTTGTTAGGGTTGTTATGAAGATAAATGTATACAACAGCATAGACACATGATAAGCATTTACATGTTAAATTCCCATTGCCCTTGTAGTGATCATATTTTTTAATGGACCACTGTTCAAAAAATATAGAAATTCATGTAAAGAATAAAATGTGAGCATGCCCATCCAAATAGGGAAAAATATTCCTTGAAAATGAATGTAAATAAAGTGGATTATTTAAATGGAAATTGAAGTGAATTAAGAAAACATTCAAATTTCCTCTAACGTGGTCAGAGCCAAATCAAATACAAAAGCAGAGTCCTGGACAAACAATATGGTAGGTGTGTCTATTTCCTGCCATAAAGTGAATTTCTAATTATGTTGTGCCTGTTGTTTCAGAGGCAAAGGCCCGTTGAAAAATACATCTGATGTCATTAATGCTGCCAAGAAAATTGCCGAAGCAGGTTCTCGAATGGACAAATTAGCCCGTGCTGTGGCTGATCAGGTAATGTAAGAGGGAAGAGCAAGCACATGCTGAGTGGGGTCATTAACTAGCTCTTGGGTTCTGTAATGGGTTTTATGCACTCTATTAAATGCCTCTGAAGAATAAATTGTAGAGAATCGCTAACATTTTACAAACTGACCTCTAACTCTGTCAAGATTGAGTTGATGCCAAAGGTGGGTTCTGTTTTCAAAGTTCCTTTAGAAAGAAGGGTATCCACTTTTTAAGAGACATAACCTTCAAGGAATCATAGATTATCCTGGCTGTCCTCATTCAGAAACACAGTGACATTGCACAAGTGAGAAGCAAAAGAAACAACTTAATTTCTTGTTATAATTGATCTCACTATAATGATGCTCTTTATAATTCATTATAATTTATGTCCTGACATAAATGTGATAAATCCACATAATCAAGAACATTCGATTTCAGCTTTATTTTCATCCAGACTCAAAGTGCATCAGAAATTAACAAAATTCTCAGAGTATCTTTTGTGCCTTTAGATTGAATTAAGATTCACGTCAAAATAGTTCTCAATCTCAAGGTTGAATATTTGAACTTATTTCCACTCTTTTCATTTTATTTTGCTGAACTGGAACTCTAAAATCCTGTTCTAAGTATGTCTTCTTTCAATAATGGGCCATTTCTTATAAGTGCACTTTAGGCAATAGACTCTTTCAAATAACTGATGCTTATCTCTTTAAACAATGGTGGCTTACAGTTTGAGCCAGTTTCAAAGGAAAATGTCTTGAAATATATATTAAGATTCTGCAATAGAAAATATTATATAAACTGTTATTTACATGGAAAAAGCATTATGAACACGAATTTACTACGAAACAGATCATCCTCTTTGAGAACACTGAAAGATTTAAGATTTTTTCCTCCTCTGTGGAGGAGGGCTTCTCTGTAGCTCAGTTGGTAGAGAATCTGCCTGCAATGCAAGAGACTGCCTGTTGTGTAGGAGATGCGGGTTTGACCCCTGGGTCAGGAAGATCCCCTGGAGAAGGAAATAGCTACCCATTCCAGAATATTTGCCTGGGAAATTCCATGGCGGACTACAGTCCATGGGATCACAAAGAGTTGGACATGACTTAACGACTAAACCACAACCACCTCCTCCATAAATGGCTGTGGTCTCCTGTGGTTTTTGAGTTGCTTACTATAGTTTATCTCCCTCATTTTCTAATATAAGACTGTTCCTCTAAATACTTGCCTTCAACTTGCCAAGTTATAAAATACCTTGTCAATACCAAATTTACTCATCTCCTAAAGTCTGAAAAGAAAAACTCATGATTAAACTATTGGAATTGCTTTTAAAATAAGTCAGCAGATTGTCTCATATTATATATATGATAGCAAATCTGGGGGAATGTTTTGCTTACTTTTGAATTTTTGAGAAACACTTAAGAGTAAAAATAATTTACTAAATATTACCAAAATTTGAAAATCTCCTGAAATTTGTAGTGATTAAGGACCAAACCATTATTATATTGCTAATTTCAGGGCACTACTGATTGCCAAGCTTCCTACATTTTGCAGCAAAAGTTGAGTTTCATATGTCACCCAGAAGGTTCATGTAAAAGAGAGGAGAGAAAATGAGTTTATTTGAAAATAGCTCTCATATATGCAAACGTACAGAAATGCACCAGCCAGGAAAGAATGCTGCATTTTTTCTGCAAATGTTGAGGCAATTTTCTGCATATGTTGGGATAAGTGGAGTGACCAGAGATTGGCAGGTGGTTCTGAGAGAGGGTTGTGCTAAGATGGACTCTTAAGGAGTAAAAGTAGATGAGGTTTGGATGGTTTTTCCATTATATTCCAAATCTCAATGGCTGAAACTACTTCTCAGTAAGTTTAGACTCCTTGAGCTCAATATTTTTTATTGTGATTCTTATTTTTGATTTTGAAATTTTGGATCTTTATTTCAAACAATTATATATCAGGAAACACAGACCCTGAACACTTTGCTATCTGGAAAACATATCACACGTGCACACACACATACAAATCCCAGGATTTTAGATGTATCTTGAGATTGTGACAAAGTGTTAAAATGATATTTAATGATGATGTAACAAAGAAAAGATAAACACAACCTCTTTGTAGCATTTTTCCTGTCATCACTTGTGAAGCAACCTGCAATTTTTGCTAATGTTTGATCTGAATGGAACATTTATTTTTCAAATAATGCATCCATTTCTACTATTCCAATGGTATAAGAGTTATTTTTCTTGGTCCATAATGCCTTTATGTATGTTTTAAACACTTCAGTTTAAATAACAGAATAAAAGGAGCATTTGAAAATGTGCATTGGTTGGCTTTATTTTGCCAGAAAATATGTTTATAAAGATTTGAGATATGCACACAGTATAAACTTTTTACGGACTGTTGCATTTTTAATTACTGTTCCATTGAGATAGAACTTCCATTTTAATTTGCTGCAAGGTATTTGTATCAAAGGCCTTTAGGGAGATATCATTTTAAAGTTAATTCCTTTCAGTATATGGGTCTCTGGAGAAGGATAAATATTACAGTATGAAGTACTTGTAGGAAGCTAAAAACAGTCTCTGTGGGATTCTTTCTTGATAAATGCAGTTAGTGAAAAAAAAAATACCACAATGGTAAGTGTTATATAGAAAAAAGACCCCTTTGTAACTTATTAAATAAATGGCTATGTCAAATGACTGGCTTCACAGTATTAATGAAAGAATTCCCTTTCTTGGGCTTGAAGAAAGCTTAGCTGGAGTCTTTTTCTCATACTTTTGTTCTAAATAAGGTACTTTACTTTGGGCTGTAGGTACTCATTTCTTAGAGTGTTTCATCAAGGATCTGGTGATTATATGTCCTTTTTAAGTGCCAGATTGAGGGAGAACAATAGAATATCCTGGAGAATTTTGAACTGAACTTTGGATAGCAATAGGAATATATTTCAATTACTTGATAGCTGTTGTCACTGAAGCTTGAGAAATGCTTTAGGGAATCATGTAAATGTCTCTGAAAGTGTTCAGCTCTGTTCAGTGTGTATTTGATGGACATCTACCCACTTAAGTTACAAAAAGAATTCAAAACCCTTGGTCACCAGATTCTTTTTCTAAGAATTCAAAATCTCTGCTACATCCTTGGAAGGGTCTTATTGTTACACTGATAAGCTTATTTCAATGGGATTCCAACTCATTTTACTCACATCTTTTTCTTTTACAATGGTCTTGATCCTTCTCACAGTCTCTGGTTTAAATTAAGTTTATCATGTTGCTAAATTTTTTTCCCCATTTATTTTTATTAGTTGGAGACTAATTACTTTACAATATTTTAGTGGTTTTTGCCATACATTGACATGAATCAGCCATGGATTTACATGTGTTCCCCATCCCGATCCCCCCTCCTACCTCCCTCTCTGCCTGATCCCTCTGGGTCTTCCCAGTGCACCAGCCCCGAGCACTTGTCTCATGCATCCTGGGTTGCACTGTTAAAAAACTTAGTAGACAATTTTTTAGGGCGGTTTTGGGTTTACAGAAAATTGAGCAGATGGTACAGAGAGTTTCCATATATCCTCCCCTTTTTCCACTCACAATTTCTCCTATTATTAACAGTTTGCATTTAGTGTGGTTGCAACTTGTTGAATTTGATGAACCAATATTGATTTACTATTATTAACTCAAGTCCATAGTTTGCATTAGGATTCACTCTTTGTGTTATATAGTTCTATAAGTTTTGACAAAAAATGTCATGTATCCCTCAATACAGTATGCTGCAGAATAGTTTCACTGCCCTAAAAATCTCCTGTGTTTCACCTAATCATCACTTCCCAACCCTGCTTTGACCCTTGACCCCTGACCATCACTGATCTTTTTATCCTCTTCATAGTTTTGCCTTTTTAAGAATGTCATCTAGTTGGAGTCATTCAGTATGTAACCTTTTCAGATTGGCTTCTTTTACTTAGCAATATGCACTTAAGATTCCTTTATGTCTTTTCATGGTGTGATAGCTCATTTCTTTTTTTTTAAAGCCTCTTTTTTTTTTTTTAAAGAACAAATTACAACACATTAGCAAAAATGTTCAGAAAGTACAGATTTCCCATATACTCCCCCTGCCCCCACATTTGCACAGCCTTCCCCATTACCAACATCCTGCACCAGAGTGGTCCATTTGTTATAATAAATGGACCTACACTGACACATTATTATCACCAGCAACCATAGATTACATTAGGGTTCACTGTTGGTTTTGTAGTCTTTAGGTTTTGACAAATGTGTTATAACATGGATCTACCATTATAGTATCATAAGAAATATTTTCACTGCCTTAAAAATCCTCTGTGTTCCACTTATTAATCCCTTCCTCCTCTCAGCCTCTAGTAACCACTGATCCAGTTTGCCTTTTTCCAGATTGTCGTATAANTTTCTTTAGGTAGATATACTCCTAAGTATTTTATTCTTTTTGTTGCAATGGTGAATGGTATAGTTTCCTTAATTTCTCTTTCTGTTTTCTCATTGTTAGTGTATAGGGATGCAAGGGATTTCTGTGTGTTAATTTTGTATCCTGCAACTTTACTATATTCATTGATTAGCTCTAGTAATTTTCTGATAGAGTCCTTAGGGTTTTCTATGTAGAGAATCATGTCATCTGCAAACAGTGAGAGTTTCACTTCTTCTTTTCCTATCTGGATTCCTTTTATTTCTTTTTCTACTCTGATTTCTGTGGCCAAAACTTCCAAAACTATGTTGAATAGTAGTGGTGAGAGTGGGCACCCTTGTCTTGTTCCTGATTTTAGGGGAAATGCTTTCAGTTTTTCACCATTTAGGATAATGTTTGCTGTGGGTTTGTCATATAAAGCTTTTATTATATTGAGGTATGTTCCTTCTATTCCTGCTTCCTGGAGAGTTTTTATCATAAATGGATGTTGAATTTTGTCAAAGGCTTTTTTCTGCATCTATTGAGATACTCATATGGTTTTTATCTTTCAATTTGTTAATGTGGTGTATTACATTGATTGATTTGTGGATATTAAAGAATCCTTGCATTCCTGGGATAAAGCCCACTATTCCAGAAAGTGCAATAGAGTTTCTTTAGTGAATGATACATTTCTTAGAAAGCCAAAAGAAACAAATGCATTTTCCAACAAATCGAATTGAAACTGTCTTCTACTATGGCAGAGAGACTGTCACACAGAATGATTTCCTTCTAGCATCTGTTGCTTTGTTGTCTGTGTTAAAATAACTTTGCATATAGTGAACATGGAATGGGCCACTAGGAGAAATCCTATAAAATATTGTTTTCTTTGCAGTTTAGAAGATAATTGATAAAATACTTATACATTCATCCCAATAAGACTTTCTGGGAAATCATCAATATTCTTTGTATAGAATTTTATCAAAGTAGAATTAACCACTCTCACCTATCACTGTGGCCTTCTAAATTCCCTAAAGCATTTCTGAAGCTTTAATGTACTATCAAGTTGAATGGATATAATTAAGGTATATGACAGTGAAAACTTTTTTTCTCACAGCTTCTATATAGCAAGTATTAGAAACTGAAAGATTCTTACTAATTGAGATATTTTTTTTAATGTTTTATAGTGTCCTGATTCAGCATGTAAGCAGGATTTATTAGCCTACCTTCAACGAATTGCCTTGTATTGCCATCAGCTTAACATCTGCAGCAAGGTGAAAGCCGAAGTACAGAATCTGGGAGGAGAGCTCATTGTGTCAGGGGTAAGCTGGGACCTGGGCTTCGCAATTCAAGTTTCCACTGTTGTTCTTTCAAGGCAAGAATTCTTGGCAACAGTACTGCTAAAAACACCAAACTACAATGATTCATAGGTAGTTTTTTTCTTCTTTTTAAATGTTATCACCATTATTCCAGACCTTACAATAACTCACAATGAACAATTTGATTTTCCAATTACCCTGTGTTTATACTAGTCTTATAAAATCTCCATTCTTCACAAGAAAACTAATTTCATAGTCTGGAAAGTCATTGCCAAGTTGACTATTATAATTATTTGGGGCTTTTGTATATTTACTCATTATAAGTCTACTTCCCTCTGTTAGTCCTAGTAATTTTCATTCTCTGTTCAGGAGCCAGCCTCTCTATGTGTGGATTGTGTTCACATGTTAGAGATGGTGAAAACAATAGGAATTCATTCATCAGGTTCCAATGCATACTAGGTTATCAATAACCTTTAAAAGCCAGAAAGCATTTGAATTTAATACAGGTTGATGTGCTGTTGCCAAAAACTAACATGGTTGTCAGACACTAACAATTATAGATCCTTTATTCAATCACTTCCATGTTTCCCTTCTCATGAAAATATAATTATCTGGTCCATTTTCATCAAATGCAAAGAAACAAAAAGCTCAATGAATAGAAGTATCATGATTTCTTGGCAAGATTTCCAAATGTATGTGTTGAGGTTCTTACCTTGGCTTCTTCTCCTCCCTCAGTCCCTGTCTCTCAACACAAGATGCCATCTATTGTGAACTATTTGCAAATTCCAAAGTGTGGCTCTGCCACCTTTAGTTCTTTTCCCAGTCAGCCATGATGTTGCTATTTTCAGTGTGGCATTACCAGAAACAGAATATTATCCATATGGTGAATGCCTTGTGAACATTAGACTGGTCATGAAGCTCAATTCTTCCTCAAGATATTTCCAAAAAATTCACCATTTGATTAAAAATATGTGCAAAAATCATTCTTGAACCCGAAGGTTTCAGTTCCTGTATTGTTTGGCATTAGAAAACCTAGCTGGGAAAAGAGCTTATCTGGCTTGCATGGAGATTCCATTTAGAAAGTCTGTTCCATGCAGTCTCATCTAGCGCCCAGTAAATTGCAATTTTGTGCCTCTTAGCATAGTCACCCCTCCTTTTCCAAAATGATCCCGCTTCAACATTCTTCAACAACCAAGAGCAATCTGTCTTGCAATGTGTCCTTCCTGCCACATTGGTTATTACCAAGATTCTCTCTGCCAAGAAGTGATCGAAACATTGCATTTCCCTTGCTTCCTTTCTTATCTTCAGCCTCAATGGTATAGTTTCCCATACCATTCAGCTTTCATGTCCATCTGTATCAAGCACCTGTGGGACTGAGTGCATTTTGTTTCGCTTGCCTTGTGTGCTTTCATTTGTTACTTTCCAAATCTTATTATTTACATGGATGCGCAGAGCATCTTTGTGGATCTCAGACTCCACAACCTCATCTAAGTGAGTTTTACAGGCAGAGTTGCTCTCCATCATCCTCTCAGTGCCCATTGTTTATCACTGCCTCCAGAGCTTCATTTCCATTGTATTTTCCTCATTTAGTTGTAGTCCAAACCATCACTGGCTTTTATCACTTGCACTGTTGGCATTTGCAAAAGTGTTTGAGAACACTTATCATAGAGCCTGTTTCCTTCTTTGAGTCTTATTGGCAATGTTCGTAAATCCTTGCATGGGAGAAGGCTTCTTTCCGAGGAATGTTATACCACTTCATAATAATTCTGAGTCAAATGCGTTATAAAGATTTGTTTATATTTCTCAGTTATGGGCCTGCTCTTGGTTTCTTCATGATTTTTTTCCAAGCTTGATTGCTATTTGGTGCCACACCTGCATCTGTAGTCTGCTGTCTTTGCCACTCTGCCTCCATCTTCTTCTTCATCCTTCATTGATGGCCAATAGAGAAAAACAACAACAACAACATGTTTATTTTGCACAGTAGCACACATGACTGTCTTCGAAATTCTGAAAGAGTCAAGAATGTGAGACCCCATACACACAAACTTTCAATGATTTTGCCAAGAAAGTTCACCCATGCTTTGGGCCCCATTTATTTTGTTGTCTGGCATGATGAAGTTGCCACATTTTAAAGGAGAAGTTGCTATATTAAATACAGTATGCACATATATATATATATATTAATATAGTATTGCATATAATATGCAATTAAAAAGAGAAATACTTGAATTGCCCTTCCTTTTTTCCTATGTCTTTGTGTACATGATATTCAAAACTGTGGCTTCCCCAGGACAGTATTTTCATTAGAAGTCAGAGTTTCTACTGAAGCAGAAGAGATTTGAATAATTTTTTTTTCCATTTTGTCAAGAAAAATTATTTGGATTTAAAAACTGAATGCCGTGTTTTTATAGTCTTATGCTGGCATGATGAACTTAAACTAAAAATATGCACACACTGTGCATAACTGTATACCATGTCAGCTTGTGTATGTTTTATGTGAGTCTATGTGTACAAAGTGGGAAAGGCTTCTTCTATGGTGTCTGCCTTTGACTTGAGAGGTGGCTCAGGAAATCTCAATAGGACATGGTGACAGTGGGTGAAAAACTTTTCATGAGTCATGATGGGAACTAGAGAAATAGAGGAAACCAGGGTGTATGCCTATGAATGCTCATTCACACAACTGCTATCTAAGAAGCAGCATTAGTTTTCTGGCTGGCAATCAATTTTTTAAAGTCATTGGCTTAAACATTTCTCAACAGTGGAAAGGTGCCATTCTTATTAAATCTCACAGTAGAAGATGCATATTTGTGAGTCAGTTCAGCTCAATGTGGTTGCTAAGCAGGTAATGGGAAAGGGAATTAAAAAAACAAAGAAAACCTCAAAGAGTGATAGAAATGTTAGAGGGAGAGCAGAGGAAATGAAAACCCAGACAATTAAACAGCCTGATAGTTTATATACTGGCTTTATTTGCTTGTTAATTTAATTTGTGGTAGTTTAATCTTTTAAGCTGGTTTACATGCTTTCTGGAAAAAATGACTGTTGGAAGAAGAAAAGAAAAAGAGGAAAGGGGAGAGGAGGAAGGAAGAAGCATAAAAGAAGGAAAAAGAGAAAACAAAGGAAAAATAAATTTAACCATAGCATAATATAAATAAGTTCAGTTCAAGTAATACCCATTAAAGGTGACAACATTTTGTTCATCATGGGAGACAAGTTGAACCACAATATGTTTTGAATACAAATCAGTTCTAATGCCATGCTATGGAAATTACCTGTATATTTGATTGTCATATTTTTAATTAATTTTTCTGCATTCAGTTTCAGAGAATTTAATACATTCTTTTAAATTTAAAAAATGGAAATATACACATGCAACTGAAGAAATAAAAACCATTTTATAAGCCTTGATAATCTTTAGTTACCCAAAGATTTATACTTTGTACATTATTATGAATGAGATTCAAAACACGAATGTAGGGATTTCGAATATAGAATGTCGAATATCAAGCATTCTGATAAAACCGAAAAATTCCATCTAAAATGTTAAGTTTAAATACAACAGGAGCCCCATTATAACAATAAAACCAGAGCAGAAGAGCGATAACTCTGCTCTCAACAAGAATTTGATGTTCAGATTCAGAGATGGAGGGCCACTAATATAACTTAGAGCTGACTCTCTGTGAGAAGTTATAAAGTTAATAGATTTTATTGCAAATAAATGCCTTTTTTCATGCAAACAAAATATAGGGACAGAGTTTAGAGGTGACAAATGTTAGTTCCCTTAGTCCTCAGGCTGATTAAGTGGGGCCATGACCTATTCCTGAAGGACTGAGTAATTTGCCCTAATGTGAACTTTAGTTCTTTTGTCTTTTAAATATCTCCTTTCCAAATTTGAATTCCTCTCAATTGGATTATGGAGAAAAGTTTGACAAGGTGAGCAAGCATAATTTGCAACACTGGTAGGATCTGATTTGGTAAAAAGAAAATTGGAGAATAAGGGGTCAATTATGTTTCATATCATTCAAACATTGGGCTCAGTTAAAATTAATATTCATGATAATAGCTAAAAAACACTCATAAAAATACTAGAAACTGGTCATATTTAAGTCAATTTGAATAAAATACTTATATGCTATATGCATATCCTTTCATATATACACACAACAAATAAAGCTGATTTGCTTCCTTGTCCCCTTAATAAGCAATAATTAAGAAATGAACAAATGATTGACAACTGTGACATATCTAATTGAATGTAATACAATTTTGGGGAACATATAGGGTTTCTTTTTGCAATGTTATATATATATTTGTACAATACCATATATATACACATACACATACCTATATATATATATGTGTGTGTGTATATATATTCACACACACATACACATATATATAATGGTGGTTGTTTGAGATGAGCATTGCATTATACTTGAAAATTTTTTTATTCCCTCTATAAAAAAATATCAGTATTTTGTAATGAGATGAAACAATCACTGAAACAAGCATTGTATTGATACCTAGTTGTGTAGACTCGTACTTTAAGCATGATTTTGGGGGAAAAGAGTCTTTTTTAATGTATCTTCTGATTCTGTCTATTGTCAATTCTTGATTATCTCCACTGATCAAAGTATAGTAGTAATGGGGAAAAATCTAAATTGCTAGCTATTTCAGTTTGGGTTTGGAATGCATTTCTATGCTTCATTTAAAAAAAAGCACAGCAGTTTCAAAGAATTTTATACAGACCTTCCAGAGGGTAAGTTATTAACTATTTGGTTTAAAGAACTTTTTCTGATCTTGGGAAAGTAGGAAAATTCAGATCCAAGGAAAGTAAGATTAAAACTAATGTCATATTATCAATCTGAACGGAGGGATAATGAAGAAACTCTGTACCAGTAAGAAAATTAAATTGGTATTCATCATCTTCAGAATGGCAATAGTTCTGTGCACTTAATCTTCTAGTATGATGGGTTGTTGCATAACTCAATCTTTCTCCCAACAGC